TGATGTGGCTACAAGCCAAGGAATGACAGCAGCCACCAGAAGCTGGAAGCGTCAAGGAATGAATTCTCCACTCCAGCTTCCAGAAGAAAGGATTATCTTGCCAACACCTTGTGCTTCATCCCAGCCAAACCCTTGGCTTGAGTCACCCCAAAATTGACAGCAAGGAAGTTCCCACAGGCAGTTTCTCAACTGTCCTGACATGGGCCAGGTGAGATTTCAAAGAAAGAAGGACTAATCCTAGGGTGGTCAGTCCACAGCATTTATCTGGGAAACTACTTCCAGAGCAGGCTGTGTTGTCCTTGTGAAGGACAGCGAGAGAAAGCGATGTTCTACTTAAGTGTGTACACCATGAGATGGTGAAGTGCTGGGTTTAGATGAAAGTTTAAGGAATTTGGCTTAGGGATGAGGCCATTTTCTTTCAGCGTTTTGAGCTCCAATTTGTGCACCTTTATCAGTACCTGGGAATGTTCAAGGCCCTGGCTTTGGTCCCTGCAGGGAAAACATGCAGGATAGGTCACAGAGTGCTCTGGTCAAGGTGCTCTGGGTGCAAGGTCAGGACTGAAAAAAAGTGCAGATGGAGAGACCCTACACCTTCATTTCAGGCTAGTGCTACTGATTTCAGGTTTCTGGCATCCAGAACTGGGGGATAATAAATTTCTGTTGTAGGTAGGTGTGGGGACACGCACCTGTGATCCCAGTACTCTGGGAGGCTGAAGCAGGAGGATTGCAAATTTGAGCCCACCATGGGCAAGTTAGGGAGATCATCTCAAAATAAAAAATTTAAAAAGGGGCTGGAGATGTAGTTCAGTGCAAAGGGTCTGGGTTAAACTCTCAGTATCACCCCCACCCCAAACACACATGAGAAATAAAGTATGAACCCATGAAAAGACATGGAGGAGCCTTAAACACATGTTGCTAAGTGAAAGAACCCAACCTGAAAAGGCCACATAATTTATGATTCTAATTATGTGATATTCTGGTTCACTGATTGCTCAAACAAATCAAGGGATACATAAATCAAGCACAGAGGATTTTTAGGGCACCAAGACTTTTCTGTATAATACTATAATGTGACTACATGTCTTTATACCCACAACTAGCAGGGTGTGGTGGCACACCCTGTAATCCCAGCTCTGGGAGGCTGAGGCAGAAAGGACTGCAAGTTCAAGCCCAGCCTAGACAACTTAGTGAGACTCTATCTAAAAACAAAGTATAAAAGGGGTAGGGGTGGTGGGAGGAGATGGGGAAAGGAAAAATTATGAGGAAAGAAAAAAAAATGGAAACGAAGTCTATGTAAATAGGGAAGGGTGGGTGAAGGGCGCACAGGTAATGGGGAAAAAATAAGAACCAAGATACATCATGTTCAGGTACAAGCACCCAGTGATAAATGTAAATGTATCGTATACCTAAAATGTACCAATAAAAGAATGTAAGCAAAAAACCCAAAAAAACAAAGCACAAAAAGGCTTGGGGATGTAGCTCAGTGCAAAAGCCTTGGATTCAGTCTCTAATCAATCTCTATGGGGGGAAAGTTTTCATAAATACATTTTTATTATTTTAAGCCATCAAGTTGGTGGCAGTTTGGATGTAGGAATCCAGTATACCAGCCAACGCTAATTACCCAGTGTGTGACACCACGTGCCAGGTCCCATGCTAAGATTTTACAAAGGTAAACTCATTTAACCCTTAAAATAGTCTCTGGGCTTGGTACACTCATCCCCTTTTACAGATGAGGAAACTGAGGTGTAGAGAGATAAGGTAATTTGCCTGAAGTCTCATCTGGTAAATGGAGGACTGAACTCTGAACTTGGGACTTAGATGTAAGGTCCATGGTTCTCACACTGTCCTGAGCTCCCCACTGTCCTGGGAGGTCCTGGCTAGCAGCCCCTAGACATAAAAGAAGAGGAGGCAAGGGGCCAGATGGGTCTGCACCATTGAAAGCTTTGCTACCAGTGGATTCTCCACTCTCCCCAACATGACCTTCAGCTGCAGGATGCCAAGGTCTGGGGAGCTCTCAGCCTTTCCCATGCTGCAGTTCTTGCTCTGTTGCCAGATCCTAGCCAGGACGGTTTTCTATTCCTCCTCCCTCCCCTTCTCCAAACACTTCGGACACATAGGGAATAGAGAGAAGACACCATCGACGGTTTCTCTCTACCCAGTTTACCGTGTCATTTAGCTTTTATGGTCTCCATAAATGTCTATAAGGATCTGAATTTGATTGTGAAATGTAACTAAGAACTTGGGAGGTGGACTTTCTTCTGGAAGCCTGGAGAGGTTGTCTGACCATTTCCTTCCTCCCAGACCCCTTCTCCATCTGTTGTCTGTGTCCAGCTGGCCTTCAGGCCAGGAAGGAGACTGAGAAGCCCCACCCTCTAAATACACAGGGCTTTCGGGCCAGACCACCCAGCAGCTTTCGTGGTTTACGGCACCCTTGGAAAAGGCCAGAAGGCAGCTGGTTGCTTCCCTGGGCTTCCCTTCAGTGTTGACCTTGAGCAAAGGAAGAGAGGCAGGAGAGTTTCCGGATGTGGAAGTGGCGCAGATCCCTTGAGGGGAGCCGGATGGGTCAGGTGCTGGCTGATCCTGCAAAAGGTGAGACCAACTGGGGGCAAAACTGATCCCTCTACCTTTCTTCCCAGGGCCACGCCTGCTGTTTTCCTCCACTGCCGGTTTCTAACACATATGTGACTCATTTTCCTGTAGTAGTTGTGGCATTGCTGGTGCTACCAGGGTTTGTGTTCCAGCTGGCAAAACCATAGGGAACTTGAATTAGACCATTGATTCTCCAGAAGCATGAGGGGGCGGGTCTGAAACTCCTGGGCACGTGTGTGGTGGAGGAGAGATCCTACATTTGGTTCAAGAATGCCGGGATACCTGTAATCCCAACACTCTGGGAGTCTGAGGCAGGAAGATGACATGTTTAGCCCAGCTTGGGCAACTTTGTGAGACCTTGTCTCAAAATGAAAAATACAAAAGGGCTGGAGATGTAGTACAGTGAAAAAGCCCTAGGTTCAATCCCCAGTGTTGAGGGGAAAAAAAAAAAAACAATCCTAGGAAATTTTTGAGGGGAGGGGAAGAGCCCTGGTTTCTCAATACAAACTAGAAAGTAAAGTTTGTGTTTACCAAAAATGGGAATTGGCTAAGGATAGATTGAGAAACAATGATTCAGTTGATGTAACCCTTTAAGGCTGGCCCTCAGACACGTTTAGATAAAACAGGATCCCCATAGAGCCTCGCTTCTCAGCCCTCTCCACCAATGGAGGTTTGCACAGCCCGCAGTGAGTAGCACCAAGGGTAACAGGTGTGTGCAGTTGGACTTTTAGTTTCTGAGGCTTTGTCAGGGTCCTCTCTTCTCCCTTGGCCTTTGCTGTGCCATGATCTGAAGCCACAAAACATTAGCACCAAAGCCTCTTTCTAACTTGAAAAGTTTTTTACACATACCAACATAAAAGCCGCATATCTGAGTCAGGGATTGTTAAAACACGCCCCAGACCCAAACTCCAGAGGCTTAAGCACATAGAGGTTTGTTTTTCTCATGCAACACGAAGGAAATAGGCAGCCCAGGCTTGTGTGGCTGCTTAGGACCACAACTTGAGCCCTGCTACCCTTTATGCTCACTCTCCCTAAACTTTGGCTTTGGCTTCGTGATCACAAGATTCGTTTCTTTTTCTTCCTTTCCTTTCCTTTCCTTTCCTTTCCTTTCCTTTCCTTTCCTTTCCTTTCCTTTCCTTTCCTTTCCTTTCTTGGGATTGGACACAGGGCCTTTGCACTGAGCTACATCCCCAGCCCCTTTTTAAAACTTTGAGACAGGGTCTCACTGAGTTACTAACTTGCCCAGGCTGGTTACATTGCAATTTCCCTGCCTCAGCCTCCCAGAGTGCTGGGATTACAGGCCTGGGCCACCATACTTTGCAAAAAGGATCTACATTCTGAGCAGAAAAACAGGGATAGAGAGAACAGAAAATAAGAGACACACAGGAGCTGGATCTATCTGACTCTTAAATCGAGAAAATCATAGCTTGACTAGAAGCCACTCACAGGAGACTTCTGCTGGTTTTCTTTGTGTCTTACGATGACAACTCCTAGCTATTAGAGTCGAGGAAAGTGAATATTCATTGAACACTTCCTCAACTTGACAAGAGGGGCTTTGGTTGGTAAGGAAGAGGGGGAGGGCCCCCAAATTATATAAACCTTGAATAGCGAATATGGGGAGCAGAAGTCTCTAGGGCTGAAATAGCTAAAGTATATAAAAACTGTAAAATTCTAGATTTTTTCAGAAATTATTATTATTAGTGTACAACATAAAAAAAAGAAAGCCACTAATCTTAGGGATAAATGTTACCACATCTGCACTACATTTATGTAGCCACCACCCGGGTCCAGATATAAACTTGTTTTTCATGCCCCTTTCCATTGGCAAACCATGGCCCCTCCAGATAACCATTATTCTGATTTCACCCCTTAGAGAAGGATATTAATCATCATAGGTATTAGAGGAGAAAAGATGCCAGGTGAGGGGGAAGACACAAGAGGAAGAGGAAGATCCAGTTCATGTTGTTTTTTGCTGTTACTGCTGTCCTCTGCCCCTTAAGTTATTCAAATTACCTTTGAATTACCCTCCTTCTCAACTGCCACCAGAAACTGAGGGTAGATACTTTCGTTTTCTATGGCGTGATTATGTGCTGAAACTTCCAATCAGTGAGAACTGGATTCTGTTGTCCATAATAGAACAACCTCAAGTAATAGTGCTGTAAGTGAGGTAGAATTCTGCTTTTCTGACACATATAGTAGAAGCAGCCTACAGGTATGCAGTGCAGGCAACCCCTAACTGTCTTTGGCAGCCTCAGGAAGATCCTAGAGGCCCATCTTCCTTCTGGCTCCCTGCTTTACAAATCCTAGGATGGCCCTTCTCTTCATAGTTAGTCCAAAATGGAAGCTGAAGCCTCAACCATCACATCTGTATTCCTGAAAACAGCATAGAAAAAAAGAGAAGAAACACTCACCCCTTCTCATTTTGAGAGATTTCTCAGGAGTTCCAGTTCTGCTGATAGCACAGTGGCAAGAATTTAGTCAAGTGGCTACATCTCACTGCAAAGGAGTCTGAGTGCCATGTGCTGTTAGAAATCAGGATTTAAAAAAAGTTAAGTGAAGAAGCTGGTAGTCCCTTCCAAATTATACTTTTGCAACTTTTGCAGATAAGCCTCCTCACCCAGATCCTGCAGCTTTCCATTGATTCCCCAAAGCCCCGGCCCTGCTTACCCCATCCACTCTGGCCTTCTCAGGAAAATGGGAGGATTTCCCAGCAAATGGGAAAGAATGCACCGCCCAGAGCACTGCAGCCAGCCCCACTGTTGTTGGATCCCTGGCTCGGGAGTGCCTCCTGGCATCGGGTGCACACAGGATCTAAGCCAAGTTCCATTAGCAGCGATCGGTTTTGTCTTAAGGACAGAAAATCAGATATGAGCGTTTTGTTGAGTGGCACCCCAGCCAACTATAATTAGGCAACATGTATCTGTATTTTCTCCGATAAAAGTACCATTTATTTTTCAATGTAAGAACTCAATTAATCACAGCATTGGGGGAAGGAAGCCAGGAGAGGATTGCTAAAGCAACCGCCACCCTGCATGGTGGATAGTGGGGTGTATTGTGGACCTGCTCTGTCCCTCAGTGCCAGTCCAGCCACCAGCCTCGGGCCACAGTGGATGCTGCCGCAGAAGCAGAGGCAACAGCAGGCAGGGGCAGAGCTTCCCTCAGCGCATCAGAAAGGGGCTAGGGCCTCCAGGGCCTAGGAAGGCCAGAAGTGGCAGGTCTGGCCGCACTCAGCTGAGGCCAGATGAGGCTGGCAGACTTGTCAGGGATGACGAGAAATGTGCGATCATGGGAGGCTTTCTGAGAATGTTCTGCTTGAGTTGAGGAAAATTAGGGTTCTTAGGTCCCTCTCTGTTTTTTTGTGCCTTTTCACAAAGTTTAACCTACTGAGCAATTCGCTTCTTTGAAATGCCTGTTAGCGAGCGCCTCTGTCCTCACTCCATAGTCAGGGAAGTCCCTTGACTGGGAGACACACTACGAGTCAGATTTCCTATCCTGTGTCTCCCTGACACTTGTTTTGGCTCCCTACTTATCTCGATTCCTCTTCTTTCCACTTGTATGCTCCCTGGACAAGAAGAGCTCTTAAAGGATTTTGAGGCTTTGGAAGTATCCTCCAACCTCATGAAGTGAAGGCGGCAGCAGACACCTTAAATTGCACCAGTACTTGATCCTGTCTTCCTGTCACCAATGCCTCCTGGGCTCTGCTGAGTGGAATGAAGTGGGTTTGAGGGAGGACGAGAGTTTGCCAGCTCTCTTCTCACACAGAGGCTTCCAGAAGTTTAAGACTACAGCATGTGCAGAGACAGTCTCTTGTCCCATGGTCACTGCCCAGGTCTCCAGGCTGGCCCCGCTGGCTCTGAGTGGTTTAGCTGGCCACACAAGCCGCAAGTGGAGCCCGAGGGCCAGGATCAGGGGAGCCACAGAAACAGAGAGGACTGGGCCAGGGATTTAGCTCAGTGGTTCTGCCGCCTGCCTTGCAAGTGCAAGGACCCAAGATCGATCCCCGGTACCAAAAAAAAAACAAAAACAAAACCACAGAAATAGGACAAGGGCAAGTTCCCAAGTACAGGAGGAGGGAGTTCTGTGTCGGGATGGTGACACTGTGCTGTGCTGTCCCCAGCTGCACTATGGTGGGGCCCTTCCTGCTCCCTCGGGGGAGCCTTCTGGGATACTCATGATGTAATGGCCCAACCTATCCACTCCTTTCTTGGTTTCCTTAAACTCACAAAGGCTCATCTTTTTTTTTTATTCTTTGAGACCTGGTCTCACTAAGTTGCTAAGTTGTCCAGGCTGGCTCAAGCCTGAGATCTTCCAGCTTCAGCCTCCGAGGGAGCTGAGATGACAGGTGTGTGCCACCACACCCACCTGGTCTATTCGAAATGACCTAGAACCCTAGACCGCATTGTTAACCTCTAGTTGTCCAATACCAACGGGTCTCAGCCCATGTTGGGGGTGGCTGAGTGAGAGGGAAGCTGGGCAGCATCATGTCTCTCTGTCTTAGGCACGGATGGACTCGGCTATGTGGCACTCTTCTTTGGCCTGGCAGCCGCACCCTCTGTGCATCCGCCTCCACTCACAATCACACTCATTCTCTTTTGTTCACCACTGCTCCCCCGTAAGACCTGGCACTTCTCTGGGTGAGAGTGCTTGGATGGCGAAGGGCTTTCCACAGCGTACCCAGGCTTCTGTGAAAAGGACAGGCCTGAGGCAGGCATGCTAATGCATGGACACCTGTAATCCTAGCACTCTGGGAGGGTGAGGCAGGGGGATCACAGGTTCAAGCCCAGCCTGGGCAGTTTAGTGACTTAGCAAGGCCCTGTCTCAAAATAAAGAATTTTTAAAAAAGAGCTAGGGAGGTAGCTTAGTGTGAAGGTCCTCAGTTCAATTCCCAGTATGGAAAAAAAAAATGATGCCAGGCCTGAGCCTTGACTACTGGTCTTTCAAAGGGGCAGAGAACATTTGCCTTCATAGGAGCCACTTGTTATGGATGAGAAGAGCAATAGGTGAGGTTTTTCCGAGGCAGCCTGACACCCCGACTTCTCCCCAGATCCCTGCCCCTACAAATCTAATTGCTCTCCCTCAGAAATCCCAGTTTTGATTCTCTCCCAGGCCTCCTTTTACATCTGCAGTCCTCACAACCTGCTCCTCTGGTAGATTCTTTCCACTATTTTTCCCTCACTCCTTAGTTGTTCCCTGCCTCTGCCCTTGGTTCTTTCTTCATCTCCCTACCTTCCCTGCACTTCATGTACCCTCCCCTTTCCCTGCACTTCATCAAGTTCTTGTCCCTCCTCCCAGCATGATCCAGCCAGAACAGGTTAAAGTCCCAGGTTTGTGTCACCATTCATAAAAATTGGCACTGTTGACTTTCAAGTCCACAGGCTCCTCCTGGCCCAGAAAAACATCCTGAGCCAGGTGGCCCCACACGGCCCAGGAAGTTTGAGGACTCAGGCTCAGATCTTCTCCCACACCTGTCTTTCCTGGTGGCCTCTACTGGGTCCCTGTGCCATTTCCTCTCTTCTTGCCACTGCCTGCTCTCTGAGCCTCCACCAGTCCCAGCTTCACAGGTGATATGCAGACTCCCTCATGTCCGGCAGCCAAGGCAGAGACAGCTGCTCATGCAGCTTCATTTGTCCGTGAATAAGTGGGGACAGAGCACCTAACAAAGCAGATGTGTTCTTGCCTTCAATGGAATTTACATTCTAGATAGTGGGAGGGATGAGAACACACAACAGTCTCTGCGTGGGTATAAGTAGTAATTTATTGTCATGGCATGTTCCGTGAACAACATAAAACAGGAAGATGATGATAATCATGAGAAGGGGGTTGATGTGCTCTTACTGGATGGCAGAGAAGTGTTCTCTGAACGGATGACATGTGAGCTGAGACCTAAAGGAGTTCTCTAAAGATCTGGGGGAGGACACTGTGGGCAGACAGGACAGTTTGTGCAAAGGCCCTGAGGCAACACAGAGCTGTATGCAGTGGAAGAACTGACAGGAAGCTGGTATGGCTGGGGCAGAGTAAGCATGAGGGAGAGTGATGGGAGGTAAAGTCAGAGACCTGATGGTGGGGAGGGAAGAGGGGAGGAAAAGCGCATGCTGTTGGGCTCCTGGTCCAAGTAAAGATCTGAATTTTATTTCATTTTGTGAGAATAGATCTGTTTCATGCCTCTCTCCTGCCTTCTATAGTTGCTAGCCATTGGGGGCCCTTTGTCTTGCAGACCTGTCTCTCCAATTTCCATCTCTGGTTTCTCAGGGGATTCCCCTCTCTATGTTTGATTGGTGGCTTTTTATTTGTTTTGTGGTACTCAGGGTGGAACTTGGGGCTTTGCATGTTCTAGACAAGTGTTAGTTCTTCCACCAAGCTGTACCCCAGCCCCTGACGGGTGATTTTTAAAGACCCCTGTGGTGTGAAGGTGTCTTCCTGCTCCTCTGTCTGTCTGAGTGCTTATCTTTCCCCATCACCAGTGAAGTCCTCTAATGATACAGGAAGCCATTCTGGAAGCCATTTGTCCCAGTTGGTCATTTGTCCTTCTGTTCTCTCTGTCTCCCGGCCTCCTTGTCATTCCACACGGGCCACTTTCTAGATTAGTCTAAGGGTTCTTGGTATCTCTTGATGAAATACACTTGCACTATTTTACTTCTATTATTTCCTTAGATGTCATGACATTCAGATTTGAGTGAACACCATAGACTTCCTGTTAAGGAAGTGTTGGGGTCAGAAGTACTGCTTTTCTCCTTCAGCTCTCTCTCACCTCATTTCCTGCCCGCTCTGGACATAGAGAAATGACCACCGGCCATGAATATGACTGACAATTTGGGGCCAGAAGTCAAGTGGTTCCCATGACCCTTGGCCCTCTGCAGTTCCCCCCTTTCCACTCTGGTCACCTAGGGGTATCCACGTTGTGTTCCTGTCCAGGTGGTAAGTCAGATAAGCAGGATGAGGAGGGAGAACTCTATGCCTGAGAGTCCTTCCTGGTTTCCAGCTGGACTCATCTCCTTCCCCCTTTTACAACTCTCCTCTCTGATAAGCTCTTGGGAAAGTCAGACTTTCATGACGCACCTGGACCCTGTCTGGGGTTCATGTTTTCCCAGTGCTTCCTGGGGAATAGTCCTGAAGATGATTCCACACTGGCCTTCAGAGTATTCAGAAAGTTTTACATAGGCTGGTGTTTGTTTCTCAGCCCTGCCGACCCATCCCCTTTAAGAAAAGAGGGCAGGAGGTGGTATCTGGATAGAGAGAGCACTATGGGATGGGATGGACTCAATACTGTGAAAATGCTTACAGATGTTCCTCATTTCATGACCAAGTTCCGTTTCTGCAACTAGCTTGTTACATGAATTGGTCGCTAAATGAGGAATTGCATATAGTACTGTAGATACATCACAATGTTCAGAACAAAGAAATGGTCAAAGGAAACTCCAGCTTGATGACTTTGCTTTTATTTGCGTAACTCTTACATGTACCACTGTAATGTATAATAGAACAAAAAACTACAGTCCTGTACTGTACAGTACAACCAGCAAAAATTACAGCACTGTATAAACAAGATGTACTCTACAGAAAAGATATCAAAGCTCTATAAATAAGATGTACAGAACCGTACCCAACCCCCCAGAAAAGGGCAGGTCATAAGTCCCAGCGGTGGGTTGTAAGTTTGAACAGCATGCCTCACTAGTAAGTCCAAACAGTTGTTAAACAGATAGATCCTTAAACGTGCAATATCTGTATTTAATATAACTTTATATTTTAAAAAAA